AGATCAGCAGACCAGGGAGACGGGGAGCAGCTTTTCTCGCCCCGGAGGAGGCGGGCGGCGGGACCAGGCGTCCCACCGCTCCAGTCCTCCGGGGCGAGAAAATCCCCGTTCGTAACTGCGGATCCGACATAAGTCGGATCCGCGTAACTCGGGGACTGCCTGTACTGGAGTGGGGGGAGGGGAAGGGAGCTCGAGTGAGATTAGCTGTCTGTTTATTAACATGTGGAGGTTAAAACAGCTAATTATCATGGATTCCCGATACAGCTTCCCCTCTGGTGTGTAATCAGAAGTACATGTAAGATAGCTTGAAACAGTGCTGCTACCACTTCTTTAATGCCCAAATTTATTTTAGTTCCAGAGCACAGCACCTTACTTCTCCTTATGAAAAAGTGCTACTTGGGGATTTGATTGCTGGTTTGTCCCATGCCCCTGGCAGCCAATCAAAGTCAATGATCAGCAAATATGCCTCTGGCTAGCTTCTTTACTGTGTTAGTTCACTGGGAACACTGTATATTTAAATGGAACTAAAACATATATTAAAGCTACAGTACACTGCTTAACTTCAAGTGGGCCTGCCTCCTTTTTCATAAATGTAAAGACTGGGACTGTTTTAGGCCCATTTCTTAATTTTATTTTTTTGCTGTGTGCTAGGTATTATTATTCGGTATGCTGAGTGAAATGTCTTTATAATGAACATATAAATTGTGTTTGACAGGAAAGTGCAATTGGCAGGATAAAAGGGGAAAAAGATATTGACTACGTTTTTTTCTTAAAATACGTCTCCATCAGAATGTTAACTACTGAAGAAAAGACTTCTAATGGACTGTGAAACATTGGTTCCCAAGAAACATCGGCAACCAGTCAGAGACCTGTTGTCATTCTCTGCAGTAGGGTTAATAGCTGTAGTGCTGCTATTGCAGTGACCATAGGGTAAACTTTGTGTAGGAAGAGAGGAGGCAGCTTATGTGCAGGGCTCATTAGTAGCTTGTCATCTATTTTTGGTCTGGAGTAACATGAAGCACTAGTGCAAAATACCTCTCTCCAGGTCCTCAGCAGGTGTAAATTGGCACAGTTTCATTACAGTTCCGTGATCTGCATGAATTTGCACTAGCTGAGCATCGGGTCCTCTACTAGTTAGTGTGAGGCCATCCTAATTGCAAACACCATGAAATGAACAGTGAGAAAAGAAAATGTTTTCTTTCTGTACACTGTGCCTTCATTTACCCTACTTTGTTATTAAGAAACTTAAAGCAATATGCATATCAAGCCACTAAACTTCACAGCATCTTGCCAGCAGATTTTTTGTATTAACATTCTTCACTAACATTTACAATCATAACTGGCAGAGATGTTAGAAATTTGGATGAGCTAAAATATATAGCCTGCAGTCTCTCAGTCTGACAATCTCAATCCTGACAAGCTATCCTAATTTTCCTCGGTAAGAAGAGGTATCCCTTTTCCCCTATAAGAAACCAAGGCAACATCATGGTAACCTTGTGCATGACAGATGTATAGGCTTCTTTTGTGTGTGTGCAGCTCCTTTCATATGGATCAGAAAATAAGGCTGCTTAACACATCACTACAAAACAGGAAGACACACAGTGTTGATGGTCTGATTTTAACAACACACAAACACACAGAAAACATACAGTTGTGCAGTTCTTTTCAAATCAGCGAAAATCACACACTATAAAAAAATAGATTTGTCTTAGTCATCATCAAAAGTAAGAAAACATGCTATTTCCCAGCATGCCATCGCTATTGTAACAGGATTACTAAGCACCCAAATACACACACACTGAATTAACTCACAATATTCTCCATTCAAAATCTCTTCCTGTTTCCACTGAGCAAAACACCCATTGATTTCAGGATTGGGTTCTCTGTTTCCACAGTTCCCAAATCAAAGATTAAAAAGAGAAATAATTTCTCCTTATTCTCTCACTTGCCTGCAGTTGAAAATAGACCCTGCAACCAGGGTTGCTCTTGTGCATTTCAAAGCAGAAGTGCCCGCATGAAGCCTGGGGTCAACGGGGGAGCCTGGGGTCTTGTGGCATTTCAAAACACGCAGAGCCTGGGGTCAGCTGGGGAATCCTCAGCTGATCCCAGGTACCATAGATATGCCACGCGGAACCCAGAGTCAGCTGGGGGAGTCCTAGAAATAATCCATGCAACGCCAAGAGGGATGGATGAGCTAGTGCTATTAGTACCCTTTTGAGTCTCATAGAAAAAAACTAAATAGCAATGGATACACTGTATGGGGGCTTAAAAATGAAAAAAAAAATGTCTAGATTCACAAAAAGACTTAAGTGCCTAATGGCCGCTTTAGGTGCCTAAATTCCAGAATCAGGCTGCAATGGGATTCACAAACCCTACCTCAATCTCAGCTGTCATCAAATCCTGTAGGTGTCTGTATTCATTCAGCACCGACATTTTAGCAGTAAATATTCCATAAGTGCCCATGGCTCTTCCTCTGAGCATGCCCTCTACAGCCCCACACCAGATGTAACCCCAGAGTGATGCAGGAATTGAGGCAAACAGGAGTTCCTCTGCCTAACTTGTCTGCAGGGTACAATCTGGTAAGCATCCTCAGATTTTGCCTGTGGGATTGGTCCCTATACACGAGCATACACAAAATGGCTGAAAGTGGGCACAGAGGAAGCCCTCTCTCCAGTGTTTTAGACCAGTGGTTAGGGGGCTCACCTGGGATGTGGGAGACCCCAGTATAAGTCCCACCTGCACTTACTGGGGTAAATGAGTTTTGAACTGGGATTTACCACTTCTGAGTGCCCTAGCCACTTTGGCTCACAGTGGGGTTTTCCCCTTCCCCCACCTTCTTGCTAAAGCAGTCAGTAATCCCAAAAGAGGGTTTGCACCTGAGAATCACAAGCCAAAGGAAGTGCCTTCCTGCAGCCCAGACTTCCATCACCCATCTCACAGAGAGGGGCAGGGCTTAGCACCTGCCATCCCTCCAAGTTTGACATCTCCCAATGGCTAGCATATGTGAGGAGTTGCCTAGCCTACTGGCTTTTGTGAATCCCATTCTGGGACACCTCTCTTTCTCCATTCAGTGGACTCAGAGCCTGCGCACCAGATTCAGGCTTTGTGAATCCTAGGGAGTTTCTAGGAACCTGAAAGTTATGCATGATGATGCTGAGCATTGCCATGCCGAAGCTTCTTTGTGAATTTAGCCCAATGTCTCCACAGCACTGGCATTAAAAACACGGTGCCCAACAGGGCATCTATTGCTCCTGTTTTCACACCTGCATTGGCCTCAAAGGAATTATTTGTCCCAGCAGATACAGGGAATGATTTTACTATAAAGTCCCGCATTTCCTGGGTGCAAATTTGCAGCCATACATTTATGATAGTCACATGTTTAACAACCTAGTTTGTGAACACAGTCAAGGAGATGGACACATAGTGCCATTTTAAATGGGCAAAACTCCGCAGAAGTAAGTACAGTGGTGTCCATTTATAGTAGCAGAGATTTGCCACATAAACATCACTTTTTATGTCCACAAATATTTGTATACACAAGTGCAGTCAAAACTTTGCACCTGAAAAATCATAGGCTGGGTTGGGAACTTTTTAAATAAATCGGATCTGTAGAATTTAGCTGGTGATGCTTCTTGATTGAATAAGCCATCACCCTTAGAAACAGGGATCAAGCTGTACATTAAAAGTACAAAAAAAACCCCAAACAAACCAAAATCAGACCTATAATGTGGCTCCAATCATATTCTAACTTGCCAAAGGCAGCTGTACATTTGTACAGCTGTTTAACCTTATGTTTACTGCTTTCTCGTATGCAGTATTTTTTGAAACACACATGGTTAAGTTGCTACTATTAGGCAATTCCAGTAACATTTCTAAACTTGCCATTACCAACACATTTAAAGATAGCGACCCTTTGCAAAAGGCTTCCAGTTTAACCTCATTCCGATATGAGTTTTGTTGTATTTATAAGACTTTCCATCACTATTTTCATGAATATATCAATCCATGCGATGCCCGTAAGCATTTGTAGCCTGCACATACAGTTTCTGAATGTCAAATAAACTTGGCATCTCTTTATAACATCTCTGATGCAGATCAATCCTGTGTTCCATTTCAGAAAGTCAAATTCTTCGCAACAGCTTGACTGTTAGTTTTGACTTGCTTCTTAGCTGAGTAGTAATCTGTAGAATAGCAAACAAACAGAATTAGAATCTTCAGAAGTGGTGAATGATGGTTTAAAGAAATCTCTCTAGTCTCACAGCTAAAGAAGTCAAGTAGGCTTCTGTAAGGCCCATAAGGGAACAAAACTAATACCTTTAGCATGTTCCATATAAAGCTATGTACTGTAATACCAAACAAACACAGGAAATGTACTGGCTTTTATCCAGCATAGATCAAAGGACCTGGGACCCTCTTATACAAGTTGAGCAATGTGACATTTTACTCTGTGACTTTTAGATCCAGTACAGTAGTGTTTTCTAGTCAGAAATAGTTATTTTTCAGAGCTCTTTAAACAAACTAAAATAGATCTGCAGTTTAGAATAACATCAAAAGAATTATAATCATGCTGAACTTTACTAATAATGTTCTACTTATTGCATAAAATAAGAACTCTGGGAAGACTACATATAATCTTGCAATAACACTGAATTAATTATGTACTCAGAGAGGAAGGGCTATAATTATGGATAAAATACTCTATATTCTTTATTCTTTTATCCTCTTTTTTCTTTAGCAAAGTGAATTCATTCCT